TCATCTTCATCATCTTCATCATCAGGGCTCGTCAGCAGGTCCTCGGTTCAGTTCTCTGTGGCCAATCACCAGCAGACTGTCGGTTTGTTGCCCATTATTGAGAACACAAGAACAAGAGTGACATCAGAGATGATGTCACCAAGAGGCCACGCCCACAACCAGCGGCTCAATAACTTAATAAATTAAAATGTTTCTCTGATTTTTGGTTCCTGTTCCTGCCGTCGGGTTATTTTATTTATTTCAGGTTCTGTCAGAAAAAAAAAGATTTTGACTCCAAAGTTTATTGAAATAATTAACGAGTGCAATATTCTCTTCCTGTTTGTAAATGTTTTATTATTGTTTAAATGTTGTTTGTTTGTTTAAGATCAACAGTCAATAATCACAGAATTCATCTTTTTCTGTTTTTACCAGGAAATAAAGTTTTTAATAATCATTTCTCATATTTTATTGACTGTTTGTTGTTGATGATAAAATGCTGAGTAAGTGAAGTAAGTGAACTTTATTATGAAACTCCTGAAGGAACTTCCTGTCTGAAGCACTCACGGCCAAAAGTATGCGGACAAGGTTGTTGGAATATTTACACAAACTGTCCACTTTGGGATATTCAAGCTAAATTTGCTCTTAGACACCAATCAAGTTGTCTGACTTTCTCTTGAAATGCATTCTGGGTAATGTAGTGTAACGCTGTATGCAGTGGTAAAAGCAGCTTTGGTGTTACTTGATTGCAGGAATGAAAACATGTTTGTGTTTATTATATTTTAGAACATAAAATATGTCAGTTTGATGAGAAATGAGATGAAACAACAACAATACATATAGTCAACAACATGACTGAATTATAAATTATGAATGATTTCATTATTTGTGAAATATCAGGAAGTGCTGAATCTGAAAATACTGTAAAATATCCACCGCTAGTTCATTCAGTACAGTTTATAATCAATAATGTTAAAGAGTTCGGTCTAGACCTGCTCTATCTGAAAAGTGTCCTGAGATAACTTCTGTTATGAATTGGCGCTATACAAATAAAATTGAATTGAATTGAATTGATCCAATATTACTAATAATACAATATAATATAATAAAATAAAATATAATATATAATAAAATAAAATATAAAATAATAAAATATAATATAATATAATGAGATATAATACAATATAATATAATAATATAGTATAATATATAATTAATAAAACAATACAATTAAATAAAATATAATATAATACAATATAATATAAATCTAATTGTCACTGTGAATGTCAATCTATATATTTATATATTTATATATTTATATATTTATAGATACAGTTATAAACAATAAAACATCTGCAGTCACTGCGGATATTTCCTGCTGCAGGAGGCGGGAGCTGTGTGTGTGTGTGTGTGTGTGTGTGTGTGTGTGTGTGTGTGTCTGATTACAACAGTGTGTAAATAAATATAAATTATTGTCGGCGCAGGAAGAGCCACATCCGGGGATGTAGAGCTGCATCCTCCTCCTCTCTCCATCCTCTCCTCCTCCGCTGCATCCTCTCATCCTGCAGCACACACACACACACACACACACACACACACACAGACAGACACACACACACAGACAGACAGACAGGTGGATCTCCTCCAGCTGCAGGTTTGTTTCCGGTTTCTTTCTGTTTCGGTGGAGGGTTTTAAAGACCGTCAGTGTCGGTGAGTAACGGAGGTGATGATGTAACGGAGGTGATGATGTAACGGAGGTGATGATGTAACCGTCTGTAGCTGCGGACTGTTTATGGTTTCTGTATCTCGACGCTGATTGGCTGATTCCTGCTCTGATCGATCCTGTTGTTGACAAACATTTCATTTGTACTGTTACTATAGTAACAGTACTCAGTTACTACTGTCTCAGTAGTATTCTATAGCAGCTTTATTATTAATATTAATATTATCATAATGTCTGACAGATGTCTGAGTCACCTCCTCACAGTCTGCAGATACTTTGGTCCATTGACCCGTCCTAAGCCCCGCCCCCTTTTGCTCTGTGCTCCAATCACAGTTGAGCAAGCCTCGGTCAACTCCCTCCTTCTCTGTATTTAGATATGCTATGCTAGGCTAATCTATGTTGGAAAGATACAGTCAGCTAGCTCATTTTAGCACAACACTAGCTAACTAATCTACATCAATGTGTTTTCTAATATTAGCTCATTTAAGACTTTACATATATTTATATTTATATATGTATACATATATAAATATAAATATATATATTTATATACTCTCACTGTCTCACTCTCTCACTGTCTCACTGTCTGTCTGTCTCACTGTCTATCTGTCTCACTCTCTCACTGTCTCACTCTCTCACTCTCTCACTGTCTCACTGTCTCACTGTCTATCTGTCTCACTGTCTCACTCTCTCAATCTCTCACTGTCTATCTGTCTCACTGTCTATCTGTCTCACTGTCTCACTCTCTCACTGTCTCACTCTCTCACTCTCTCATTGTCTCACTCTCTCACTGTCTCACTGTCTCACTCTCTCACTGTCTCACTCTCTCATTGTCTCACTCTCTCACTCTCTCACTCTCTCACTGTCTAACTCTCTCACTGTCTCTCTCTCTCACTCTCTCACTGTCTCACTCTCTCACTGTCTAACTCTCTCATTGTCTCACTCTCTCACTCTCTCACTGTCTCACTCTCTCACTGTCTAACTCTCTCATTGTCTCACTCTCTCACTCTCTCACTGTCTCACTCTCTCACTCTCTCACTGTCTATCTGTCTCACTCTCTCACTGTCTATCTGTCTCACTGTCTCACTCTCTCACTGTCTCACTCTCTCACTCTCTCATTGTCTCACTGTCTCACTGTCTCACTCTCTCACTCTCTCACTGTCTCACTGTCTCACTCTCTCACTGTCTCACTCTCTCACTCTCTCACTCTCTCACTCTCTCATTGTCTCACGTCTACTCATTGTTATCTCTGTCATCTGTCTATTCTCACTTCTACTGTCTCACTGTCTCACTGTCTCACTCTCTCACTCTCTCACTGTCTCACTGTCTCACTCTCTCACTGTCTCACTGTCTCACTCTCTCACTATCTCACTCTCTCACTGTCTAACTCTCTCACTGTCTCTCTCTCTCACTGTCTCACTGTCTCACTCTCTCCCAGTGATGTCAGTGTCTCCCGCCCTCGCCGATCTCTCTCGTCTCTATCAGACGGAGTTTGTTCGGAGCGCCCGGGCGGTCGGCGTCCTCTGGGCCGTCTGTACACTCTGCTTCGCCATCATCCAGGTGGTCGTCCTGGTGCAGCCGTCATGGATCGGCACAGCAGACACTCGCCACCAGGGGGCGGGACCGGCTCCACCCAGCGGCACCCTGGGATTGTTTGAGGTGAGAAACTTTAAAACCAAACAGCTGCTTTTAGTCCTGTCTGACATCAACGACCTGATGTTTCATCATTTGTCCCTGTCTGTCTGTCTGTCTGTCTGTCTGTCTGTCTGTCTGTCTGCCTGTCTGCCTGTCAGGTGTGTGTGGAGTCGGACTGGCCGGTCACGGACTGTCGTGGTGGTCTGTCCAGTCTGTCTCCTCTGCCGTCCTTCCAGTCGGTGGCAGTGTTGGTGGGAGTGTCTCTGTGGGCAGTTTGGACCAGCGTCCTCTGTCTCTGTCTCTTCAGGTTCTGCAGCGCTGCAACTGTCTACAAGATCTGTGCATGGCTGCAGCTCACTGCAGGTCAGTTACTGGTTCCACTGGTTCCACTGGTTCCACTGGTTCCAACAGCACACCGTCCTTTGAGGTGATGGAGAAGAATCCAAAATGGAGGAAGCTAAATCAAACAATGCTTTAGTGTCACAGTCAGACACAGTAAACGTGTCATAAATACTTGAACTTCGTCTAGCGGCAGAACGAGTCTAACTAATGATTGATGTAGATTAGCAGGCTAGGTAACTTTTCGTCTGTAACAAAAAGCTAACTAGTTAGCTAATGACTGTCAGTCAGGGGACAGGGGGACATCAGACTAATACAGCTTTTAATACATTGTGGAGACTTATTGTAAGCTAAGCTAACAAGCATGCTAAGCTCCTTCTACGTCTTTATAGAATAAAATGCTATATAATGGTGAAAAGAATATATTAAAGCTCACTAGCTTCAGTGATTACCAAAGCAGAACTAGATATTCTGCAGACATATATTAATATTATTTTTGTTCGGTTATTGTTTCACTCCTCAGGTTTCTGTCTGGCGTTGGCTTGTCTTCTGTTTCCAGACTCATGGGAGAGTCCAGAGATGAGAGCTCTCTGTGGAGACTCTGTGAGTATTCAGATCCTTTACTTCAGTAAAAGTACTAATACCGCTCTGTGAAAGTCCTTACACTCTCCAAGGTTAAACGTAATTCGCTGCCACTAGATGTCGCTGTAGAGCACCAACATCTCAGACTCACACTTCAGACAGAAACCAATCAGCGACTCTCAGTCAGCGTTTAATGGGCGGCATTACGGCCTCCGCCAGGTGCTCAGTGAGCTGCGTTAACACTGGTCCTGTATTTGTCTCCAGGTGGGCAGTTTCTCTCCAGGTAACTGTTCGGTCCACTGGGCCTACATCCTGGCCATCCTGGGGGTTCTGGACGCTGCTATCTTGGCCACGTTAGCCTTCGTCCTCGCCAACAGACAGGACGCCCTGCTGCCACCTGACGCCAAGGAGGGTGAGGGAGGGGTCGGGGCATCTGGGGGTCCCAGTTAGCATAGAGTTAGCTTCATACACAGTTAGCTTAGACTGAGCTTCTAGATATAGTTAGCATAAAGTTAGCTTCAGGTATAGTTAACTTAGCTTCGGTTCCAGTCAAACTCCGCTTGGTTTAGTTTAGATAAACAACAACAACAACAACAACAACAACAATAATAACAACTATGACAATAATAACACCAATAACACTAATAATAATAACAATAATAACAATAATAACAACAACAATAATAATGTTTTTCAGTGACCACGGGTCTGCTGTTGTCAGCGTAGAGTCGCCAGGTGAGTATTTTCTTTTCTACTGTCTCTTTAAACAACTTTACATAAACTTTTTGTTACATTAATTCTTGGTTTCTTTGTTTTTCCTCCTCTTGTTCAGTGATCTTCACTTCTCCTCCTCTTGATCTCTCCATCCTTCATCATCATCATCATCATCATCATCATTATCAGAGGAAGAGACAAATATCAAACTGAGCCAGAAGAAGAATACAACATTCCTCCTCCTCTCCTCTCATCATCACCTGGTTTCCTAGCAACCGTATCCACCTTAAGGTCGCCACGGCGAGGAAAAAAATATGAAGACGAGCAGTACGAATTCATAAAGAAAAGAAAATAAGGATGGAGAAGACAGTAAACGTACAGGACATATTCCCAGACAGAAGCTATAAGTACATATAACCTGAACCTTAGACTGCTGTATCATACTCTATATTGCCCCACAGGATTCTGGGTCCAATCTGTGTTGATGTGTTGGGGCAGGAAGGTTTGGACAGAATTTAAAACCTCTTTATCTAAAATTCAAATGCAACAGCAGCACCTCAAAAGAGCTATTTGTGTTTGTCCTAATTATTAAAGTGCACTACTGTTTTATAGTGAATATTTTATTATGTTTGTCTAATATTATCATCATGTGTTTGTTGGGGAGGAGTCAGGCACATATGGAAAGCCAAAAGGGTCACAATATGTCACTTAAGAGAGTCAAAGGTTGTCACTCTCCAACACAGAGTCCAACACAGAGTCCAACACAGAGTCCACAACACAGAGTCCACAACACAGAGTCCACAACACAGAGTCCACAACACAGAGTCCACAACACAGAGTCCACAACACAGAGTCCACAACACAGAGTCCACAACACAGAGTCCAACACAGAGTCCAACACAGAGTCCACAACACAGAGTCCAACACAGAGTCCACAACACAGAGTCCACAACACAGAGTCCAACACAGAGTCCACAACACAGAGTCCACAACACAGAGTCCACAACACAGAGTCCAACACAGAGTCCACAACACAGAGTCACAACACAGAGTCCACAACACAGAGTCCACAACACAGAGTCCACAACACAGAGTCCAACACAGAGTCCAACACAGAGTCCACAACACAGAGTCCAACACAGAGTCCACAACACAGAGTCCAACACAGAGTCCACAACACAGAGTCCACAACACAGAGTCCAACACAGAGTCCACAACACAGAGTCCAACACAGAGTCCACAACACAGAGTCCAACACAGAGTCCACAACACAGAGTCCAACACAGCTGGATAACGTTAGGTTGTTTGCTTGCTAACGTTATCGCTGGCAAAATACTATCTGAGTGGATGTGTTAGTTGGCTATTATTAGCTTCCCCAGCTAACTTGATCCATGATACAAACGTACGTATTCTGACAGTGTTGACTTTAGCAACAATAAATGATGCGGCGGTACAAAGCTAATGGTAGATTGCTACCAGCCAAGGTTGTGTGCAGGTGGGTAGCAAGGTTTTTCCATAGCTCCTGTTTTGCAAAGTCAGTAAGGTCAAACGTTTTGCAATTTTATGGCATAAAAGGCAGCGTTTTACACCACAAATGTGACAACATATCAAGTTTGAAAAGTGACTTTTGACCCTTTTGGCTTTCCATATGGTCCCCCTCAAAACATGTTTCCAGAGCTATGCAAGCGTGAAGATTAGTTCGAGGAGGGTGGATGCAAGTGAATAAGAAATAGGAAAGAGAGAGAGGAGGTGGTATGACGGAAAAATAGAAAAAGAGGAAGATGAAGAGAAGAGGAAGAGGAGAGCTTCATTCTGTTCTCCGTCAACATGGCGGCTCTGTAACAAAGCCACAAACATGCAGTTAAAGCAGTCGTCTTTAGATTAATCTTCAGTCACACAGTTTAGTCTCTCTTTGTGTTTAGCCTAGCTTAGCTGTCTGATTTTAATGTTGTATCTTGTTGGCTATGTATAGTTAGCTTAGATTTAGCCTGTAGGTCTCACTCTCTTAGAGTTAGCTTCTCGGTCAATTTAGCTCCAGGTTTGCCTCTGACTCAAGTTAGTATAGCTTTAGCTCCAGTTAGCTTACATTTAGCTCCTAGGTGAAGTTTGCTTAGAGTTAGCTTCTGGGTCAAATTAGACTAAACCCAACAGGATGGATTTGGGATTAACATGATAGCTAAATTTCCATTTTTTGTGCTAAGCTAGGCTAAACACAGAGATGAAATTGATATCCATCTGCTACATCAGAGAAAACGGAACAAGGGGATTTAACTAAAATTAGATTTAAGCTTCCTGTCCTGGGTCAGTATTTCCCTGCAGTGTGTCTTCCAGGCTCAACGCTCAGCTGTTCAGACTGTAGGAATTGTTATTTTCATAGCACATGTAAACATGTAAAACTGTATACGACTGTATTTTATCAACACAGAACAGCTCAAAATCTGAACATTAGTTTAGTGATTTGTTTAATAGGATCTAATAATGAGAGGTCACATGTATCTGCCGGAGTTAGTATTGTAACTAATGGTTAGTGAATATAAAAATGTAACTGTGGCAATATTTTAGTGCCAAAACAAAATCCTGATGAAAAAAAAGTCAATGTGTTATTCATTGGGTCAAGAATGAAAATCAGTTGCCGTGGTTACAGCGGTGTCAGCGCTATGTATTTGTGTGGTTTGTTACACAATCTGAAGGTGAACATGTGGAATAAAAATTGTCCCTAACGTGTCTCCATACAGTTTCACCTTCCATAACCTCGATTTTATAACGTCGGATCATTTTGTAGATAAATGTTTGTATTCAGGTTGTTGTTGTTTGTTGTTTACAGACTGTATCATGCATGTCAGGCTGTACAGTAACATAAACAGTATTTATTTATGTTTGTGTGTTTTTATTTACTGAGAATAAATTATAGATTTTATCAGCCTTGTGATATTACCTCATAATACTTCTTCACCAGGTACCTGAACAGGTAACGTTGCCTGGCCAGGAACAATATATACAGCCAGACATTTATCATTTCATAAACAAACATCTCATGGCGTAAAAAGTGATTACTACATAAAAAATAATTCGTAAATCGTTATATTGATCATTGATTGGTTGGATGTTCCTGATACTCAGAGCCTCCTGGTCTGGTCCTTTCTTGCTCTCTCCAGCAGAGTCTGAGCCAACTGAAGCTCTATCCTGATACACAGGTCACAGGTCAAACGTTATTATTACTTATTATTGTTCAATCTTCTGACCATTATAATAATTAAAAGTAGAACAGGAGCCAGAGCCTTCAGTTACCAAGCTCCTCTCCTGTGGAACCAGCTTCCAGTTGTGGTTCGGGAGGCAGACACCCTCTCCACATTCAAGAGTAGGCTTAAGACATTCCTCTTTGATAAAGCTTATAGTTAGGGCTGGATCAGGTGAGTCCTGAACCATCCCTTAGTTATGCTGCTATAGGCCTAGACTATCGGGGGATTTCCCATGGTGCACTGAGCTCCTCCCTTCCTCTCTCTTTCTGCACTCATTCATGTTCCATTAATGCATGTTACTAACTTCACTTCTTCCCCGGAGTTCTTGTGCTTTCTCGTCTTGCAGGTTCTTATCGATCCTGGTGGAGCCTCCTGCCATGGTCCTGCTAGATTGCCATTGCCAATACTGTTGTTGCTGTCCACCTGTCTGTCTGTCTGTCTGTCTGTCTGTCTGTCTCTCTCTCTCTCTCACCCCAACTGGTCGAGGCAGACGACCACCCACCTAGAGCCGAAGGGTCTGTCCTAGGTTTCTGCCTTTTAACAGGCAGTTTTTCCTTGCCCTTGTTGCCAAGTGCTTGCTCATGGTGGTACTGTTGGGTCTCTGTAAATAATGTTCAATTCAATTCAATTCAATTCAATTTTATTTGTTTAGCGCCAATTCATAACAGAAGTTATCTCAGGACACTTTTCAAATAGAGCAGGTCTAGACCGAACTCTTTAAAACATTATTTACAGAGACCCAACAGTACCACCATGAGCACCATGTTTTAAAGAGTTCGGTCTAGACCTGCTCTATTTGAAAAGTGTCCTGAGATAACTTCTGTTATGAATTGGCGCTATACAAATAAAATTGAATTGAATTGAATTGAATTGACTAGTGCACCTGTCTTGAGTCTGTCTGTCTCATCTCTCTCTGCATGCCAAGTATGTCTCGGGTCTCTCTTACTCTCTCTCTCTCTCAGTCCCCAGACTGGTAAGAGCATCAGACTTGTACCACCCACTCTAGAGCCGGTAAGGATCTAAGTCCTAAGGTTTCTGCCTATTTAAAGAAATGTTTTTACTAGGAAGTTTAAATTAAACCTTTGCCCTTGTCTCCAAGGTCTTGCTTAACAGTAAAGGTTAATATAAATGGTAACTGTTGGGTCTCAGTGTATAAGCATTGGTAAACTGTCAATAAAGTAGTTATCGGTCTAGACAGCAATAATTGCTCTATTTCACAGAAAAGTGTCTCTGAGATACACTTCATAAGTTATGACATTGGCGCTTATACAAATAACAGCCTCTCTTCAATTTGAATTTGAATTTGATCATTGTTTAAATTAAATATCTTTAGTTAAACATTAAAAAGACAAAGAAAAAGATTTTATGTAAAACTAAAAACTATATTTTCTAGAGAAGATTGCTGTATTTGTACCAGTCAGTTATTTTCTGTTATGTTACTGTATTTTTTTTTCTTTAAAGTCAAAGTTTCTGTTGTCATTACTAGCTGATAAATCTCTTCTTCTCAGGATGCACCTGAGTGCTGAAACTTTTGCTGATTGGACAAAAGATGAATGATTATCAGTCATTTCTGCAGTTTAACCAGGTGTTAGTTAGTTACAGTTAACTGTTAATAGAGTGTGGAGCATCAGTCCTGTTGCTACCTGCAGGCTGTGGGAACTATTCAGATCAGAAGTCCTTCACATAAACACAAAAAGCTTAGCAGCAATAAAAAATAAGATTAAAAGCAGTATATGAGAATCTATATTATATCAGAATACATTTGAACTGACATTCAGTTCTTATTTGTTACACATTTAAGAAACTCAAAATAACATTAAATTTCAATGAGAAATAACTCTAAACAGGAGTTAAGACATTTTGCTTTGTAAATATTAAATTTCCCTAATAAAATAAAAAGGTTAAAGATTGTGCATAAATTGTTTCATTACATTCAACATAAGAAATAATAGTTTTCCCTTAATGACAATCACATTATTTTATGAGTTATTTTAAATAGAATTAAAAAGGTTTCTCTCAACATTTGACCCCAGGTGATCAACCAAAAGTCAATTATCAAATTACTTTGATGACTGACTTTGGGGGTTTGTTCCCCCAGGATGTCAGATATCGGTTGTCAAAATAAAAGTGTGCATGTGTTGTTAAACTGTGGCAGAGGCAAAAAAAGGGGTTGGGTTTACTACAAGGGCGTGGAGGAAGAGTGTAAGTGTTTGTTCATACAAAGTGAGAACATCGATTCATATCATCTTCAAGATACAACTTTATTTTGAAATTACCATGGCACCTGTTTCCATCCGAGCATCTTCTATATATACAGTCTTTACCTGTCTCCGGGTCGTTTCCAGGTCGCTTCTGCCGGCTTAGAATTTCTTAGCGGGAACAGAAGTTATGATCCTCAGATGAGAAGTTCAACTCTTATCCCCAAACTGTGTCGTAGGTATCCAGAGGCCCGTGAGCTGATGACAGACGAGATGGGAAGGCAGAAGCACCAGTCGGGATCTATAAATATTTCTTAAGTGTGTCAAGTTAGTGTTTGGCAATGTCTACGACGGAGTATTCTTCTTGTATGGGACTCTGATGCTCCTCCACCTTCTTGTTGCCGCTGCTTCTTTGTTAATAGTTGTAATTTCCCACCATCAGCTTCTCCCACCTTTGTCCGCTTTTTAAAAAAAAATTTGGCGTACTCTCAGTCATGTGACAGGCTTCAGAAAGGAGTCCGTTGGTGTGACTCAGACAGAAGACGATTGCTGATTGGTTGAAGGAGGGTATGCTACCTGTCACATTATGCATGATGAAAGCGTAGTGCTATACTCTCTCTCACAACTGACCAGCGTTCAGCAATCGTTTTTCTCAACTGTAAAGTCGTACACTCTCACCACAAGGGGGCACCAGTGGCTCAGCCAACAACCTTTCAATAATATAACAAATGGTATTGAAGGGGCGAGCGATGACGTCAGGAGCAGTCCCAGGTACAGTCTGAACCCTTCGTGCAGTGGAGGTACAACGAGAAACACAATTACTGAAAAAGACATTCCTTGGATTTTGGGGTAAATAAGAGCCATGATGATTTCTTTAAAACAATCTCTTTGCAACTTAGATGCAAGACACAGAAACCGATACAGAGACGTTTGTGGTGGATACTGACTTTAATTCAGAGTGTGAGATAAATAAAAGATCTTTGTTTCTCCACAGACAGACACACAGCTGATGCACACAAGCTGAAGTACATGAATACAAGAAGAACCAATCACAGAGCTGATGAGCTTTCTCCACGGTTACCTTCATTGTCCATCATCTGTCTGTCTTTCACCAAATTGGACACTGACAGAGGGAGGATGGAGAATAAATGTGTTTTTAATGGTAACTTTAAAACGTTGAACTTTTCATTTCTGATTTCCTGCAAAAAACAAGTAATTTGGTACTAATCGTAGGTGTTTTATAGAGTTTTGTGACAGTTTAGTTAGGTCTGTTGAGTTTGTTGATTTCCAGAATTTAAACCAAATAAATAATAATAAATATTATTTTTCATACATGTTGAATTTTCTGGTCACCATACATTTTTACATGTTCAGCTGATTTAAAGGGTTTAACAGCAATTTATTTTGACAACAATTAATGCAATTTAGTTAACATAGAGAATGGTGTTCCCCAAGGTTTAACCCTGGGACTGCTTCTATTTTCTTTATTTTACTAATAAGCTGTTTAATAATCCATTAACTGAGTCCGTCTCTTTGCAGATGATGCAATTATTTACACTGTAAAAAAAACCCAAATTCAGTATTAGCTTCAGCACAATTTTGACACTATACAGATCTGCTTTGTAGACAAATAAATCTTCTAGCACCTCAAATATACAGGAATGATGGATTCTTTATCTGATGCTGACTCTATGAAAAACCTCTGTTATTATTGATTAATCTCAACATAGATATTGTTAGAAAATATAAACCAGGCTCTGGATATTATTTATGTTGTTTATATGATGTTTTTTTTTGACAATAAATGTCAGAAATGTCCCTAACTATTGAAAATTAGACTGATTCATCTTGAGATATCCATTTGATACTCATCATTGTGATGTGTGTAAGACTTGGGGTATCTCGAAATGCCAGGAGAAAAGTTTTATCTTTATTTTTCTCCACAGACTTCTTGAAAATGAGATAATTACCTCAAATTAAGTGGAAACATATTATTTTATACTTAAATTATGTTGTTTTCATAATTAGTACCGAATGGTGTTCTTTCCAGGAAATTTGAATCTTTTTTTTTTTTAGGAAATTACAGTTTTCACAAAGTAAATCTCTGTCCACTTTTCTTCTCATTTTAGCAACAAACGACTGATCTGATACATTTTTTACTAAAAGCTGCAAAAAAAACTAAAACAATACAAGAAAAAAAAAGTCCTTAAAGACAACAACAAAATACTCCTCCTCTCCTCTCTTCCTCCTCTCCTCCTCCTCCTCCTCTCCTCTCTTCCTCCTCCTCACTCCCTCATGTATTCCACAATCTGATCGATCAGTATTTGGGGGTCGTAGTTCAGGGCGGCTCTCCTTCGACGCCTACGACTCCCATGATTCAGTTCTTCCATCGCCATGCTATCGATGCGTTTCATCCTCTGCAGCCCGGCGGGAGGGGGGCGGGGCTTCTCCTCTTCCTCGTCATCCTGCTCCTCCAGCCTCTTCACTCTGAGCAGAGGGGGGTCGTTGCTAGGCGACGGTGGAACCATGTCGTCAAGGGAACGACGGGCTCTCCTGTGGGCGGGGCCGGCGGGTTTGGCTGCAGTGACGGACAGGTCCCTCCTCGCTCTGCGACCGGAGGAGATCACCGGGGCATTGTTAGGGCCGATGCTGGATAGTAACCTAGCAACCAGACGTCTGAGGAGGAGATACAGGTACCGTTGGTGCTCACGTTTCTGAAGAAAGAAATCGTTATATTGATCAGTGATTGGTTGGATGTTCCTGATACTCACCTCAGAGCCTCCTGGTCCCCTCCTCGGTTCAGTCCTGATGAAAGTCGTCCAGTCTGTTGAAGTCTCTCCTGTCTCGCTCTCTCCAGCAGAGTCTGAGCCAACTGAGGCTCCATTCTGACAATCACAGATGATTAGTGATAACTTTAACAAATGATTGACAAATGTTGACAGATGAAGAGATTTGTGAAACAAAAGAATTAAGATTCAATAAAATGTTCGCCAACCCGTCATGCTGGCCTAAACAGAAACAGGAAGTGGTGTTCACCTGTCCAGCAGAGCCTGAGCCAGCTGGGGCTCCAGTAGGCCCCACCAGGCAGCCGGGGGCCTCCCCATGTTCAGCCCCCGCCCTGTCTCATCGTAGTCTGGAGGTGCCGGGCCTTGGAAGTCCCCTGGCGGCCCCTGATCGTCCTCCTCGTCCTCCTCTTCCTCCACCACCTCCACGTCACCTGGGCTGACCAATCCCGTACTCTCTGCCTCGCTCAGTAGGCGGAGCAGAGCGGCGAGGTAGGCTGTGAACACGTTTGATTGGTTCATTAGTTTATTTCTCCAAAAGAGAAACGTTGTAATATTTCTAAATGCAGTCAGAGGGGACTGGTCTCCAACCTGCTCGCTGCTCCTCTTCTTGCTCCCGCATCTGGTCCCTCTCCACCAATCGCTGCAGAGCCTGGTCCAAGCCACGCCCCCTCCAGTCATCTGATTGGTAGTACAGGTCATTGACACCGCCCCCTCCCTGAGTGGCAGGATATGACATCATCTGGTCCTCATAAGGCAGCAGGTTACGAAGGTCTCGACGCTGCCGTCTGGCTCCGCCCACTGATACATCCAGGCCACGCCCCCCACCGCGAGCTGCAGGAAGCGACTGAGAGAGAGGAAGAAGAAGGTCACTACCTGAGCATTAATGACCTGTTATCTGTACTCCACAAGATTGTAATACCCAGGGAAAGGAAGAGTAATACAGAGAGCTGAAGCCCCGCCCCCTCCGCTCTCAATATTTGTGAAAAATGAAAACAGGTTTTATTGTGTTTTTTTTCAACTACAGTTCCCATGAGGCTTTGAGAGTGTGCCAAAGACTCCATACAACAGGAGCAGGCCCGGCACTAACCAATTTGGCACCCTAGGCAAGATTTTAGGTGGCGCCCCCCTTGCATCGAAGTAAATTTCACTGCCAGTTATATACATACATACACTCACGCAAGAAACTGAATAACTTTGTCTTTGACATTTTATTTTATTTTTAAAGAAACAAGTTGCTCAATCAAAACAGTTAACAAGAAAATAATAAATCAGAAATAAATAATACAAGAAATGACAGGACAGGAGGATCACTTGATGCTGTTGAAGCGGCGATGACTGTAGATAGCCCAGTATTTGCAGGAGGTGGATTTAGATATTTCAACAGCGCATCTGAAGAGAGAAGAGGAGTAAGAGACACCGTTGGGTGTTACAGTCTAATAATAAAATAAATAATTCCAAGAATAAAATTAAATAATAAAAATGAAAAACCTAAGAGATGCATTACTTTCACTGTACTGTACATGAATGATATACAGTGAAATTTGTTCTGATATGCTAATTAGATTAGATTGAATCTAATTATTGTCATTACAGTGAAATGCTGATTAGCAGAATGTAAACTGCAGTATAAAATAACATATGGGAATGTATTAACATTAATGATGTGCACTTTAACATGGATGTAAAGTTTAACACTATAAACACACTTTAGATAATACTGAACTATAACACAACAAACAACTCTAATATATAAAGGTGTGTGAAAGGAACAGCATTTGACTGACTGTTACAACCAGAGCAAACGTTAG